TTCCCCTCCACATTAAGATGTAAATACAGTTAACGGGCCAATTTTAAATAGCTGTACTTCATTATATTATATTTAAATAGGGCAACGTTTTGGGGGGTCTTTAAAAATTTTTAAAGATCGTAGAACCTGGAAAGGTCAGACTTTATTATGGCGCTAAGGGCCCTTACTGAGCAGTGGTCTTCCCTTTAAAGATCAAATGAGTTAATGCACAGGGAAGTATAAAGCCATCTACAAATGACTTAGATTGCCATTTAGCGTTACAAAGGCAAATTGGGTGTAATGATCCGTAGGTTAACGTCAGTGCGATGACGCAGGACACGATGGGGTCTACGGGGCCTGAGCTCCCGTTTTCTGTTGGGCGTGTTGGAGATCGGGCACACCCAGGGTGGCGACTTCGCAGCGTCGGGAAGCCCCCGGCCTGGTGCGGCAGGGACAGACGTGCCGCTCATCAGAAGCAAGGTCTGGGGTCTGCGAGCCCAGTCACCCTCCCGGCGGGGTCGGGAAGCTCTCGGGTCTCGGTGCAAGTGGGGCCCATACCCTGCGATCCGGCTCCGATTTCTCGCTCCGCGGGCCCGTCGTCCCGCCGCGGCCCCAGGAAACCGGCGAGTTGCGAGTTGCAGGCGTGGAGCAGGGTGGGCGCAGGAAAGCCCAGATCTCCGACTTGGGGTGGTTGTGTGTCTCAGCCGCCACCAGGTCCAAGCTGGAACATTGCCCCATCATCCTTCGGTTCCCGGACTCAGCACCGCAGCTTCTCAATCTAACCAGTTTCACCTCCCTCCACGAATGCACCGAACCTGAAAGGGGAAGAGGGGAAATTGTCCTCCCTTCCGAGGCTGCTGTTTTAAATTTTTAGTCAACATAACCGAATTTAGCTATGCTTAAAAAGCAAATGTAGACATTCTCCGGAGATTCCACTAAGACTCCCTATTCCCAGCGGCAGTAGTTGGCTGCCTGGCTCCATCGCCCTTGTTGGACTCTCCTTCCTGCCCATTCCAGAGAGGGTCTCGGAGCTGAGATGCTGCCAAGACTATTCCTGGTGATTACTAATTCTAACCAGGAAAAAGTCAACAAATTAATAAAATAACAGGCGGCCCATTCTGGATGAATTTTCCCTCCACTCAGAGTCAAATGAACGCTTGCTTTTGGGGCTTGTTTCCTGATACCATATTAATGGAATGAGACCAAGAGAGAACATGCTTTGAGTTTTGTGCGTGAAATGGGAATAGAGGTATTCACTGCTGCAAAGTAATTTGCACAACTTAAGAGTTAGGCAAATTAGTAGTTAAACTCTTATTCCAGAAGTCACCCAAACAATTGCTGAAATTCGGTTACATGGAATTTAAAACAAAACTGCATTTCGTTCCATTGCAGGTAAACCTTCCAAATCAAACGCAAATGAAACCAAAAAAATCTCTCCCGGAAGCTTCCATTACCTCCTAACTTAAAAATAATGAAATCAAGGTGATTTGAAATCACAGTTATCTCAATACCTACTGAAGAGAGCCAGTTCCTGACCAGATATAGATGCAGGCCCTTTGGAGTATATAGTTTTTGAATCTTCTCATCAATTCTCACTAGTAGTAAAAGGCTACTTATTTTCTTAAAATCTATCCTAGATCACTATCTCATTGAGTTTTGGCATGGCAAGTAGCAGTATTTTTTAAAACTGGACTAAAATAATTCACATACAAGGTTTTATCCACATGTGTAAGTGTTAGTGTAAAACAGTTGGGCAATATCATTCATGGTTTGAACTGTATCTGAAATTTATATTGCCACCATGTATATAATTCATTATTTTCTCTTATGCATAAATTCTTATCTAAAAATTCTATCTGTGGGTCTTTATGTGATTGAAGTTCCCAAATTTATTCTAAACGTCTTTCTAAATCATCAGTATTCAATGAAATTAACAAAGCATTTGTTTGGAAGTTGCTTGCATTTAGTGAACAGGACTGAGTCTCTGATTTGCTTTAAACTAAAAGTAAACAGTCACTAGCAGAATGAATTTGAACTCATCAGTTGATAAGAGTTTGACTATTTGTTCTGAGCAAAGGCTTAAATAGAAGACAACTGGGTTGTACCCCCATTCTTCCATATACAAAACACCCTTACCTTTTACTTCAACTCTGCACACACTCACACACACACACACACACACACACACACACACACACTTCAATTTATATCCCAACACAGATTACAGAGAAGTACCTGCAATCCTGGCGTTCCTCTTGCAATTCTGATTCTGGGTTTTGGTTCCTGTGTCTCAATTAGAAAAGATAAGTTAGATTGTTTTAAAACCCCAAAACATTTAGGAAAATGTCCCGTCTGCAGTTAGCATTCTTGAAATCGAGTTTGGCTGTGGACTGCTAAACTTTAAGGGGGCTTTGTTCCACTTAGACCCTGTGCCAACCCTTCCTCTTGGTTGTGAAGACACTTATCCTCCCTCTCCAGTTAATGAGTTTCACCTAGTCTGGCTGTCTGTGTTTTTACAAAAGATCTGCAAAGTACTAACTGCAAAAGAAAAGGAGTTCTTGCTTTGCATTCATCAGAATGTAGAATTGTATAGTAAAAATATTTCATTTTCATGTCTTAAGAATCAAACCTTATCCTAATTTCAGGATGTGCACACATAAACTCAGTAGTGTCTGAGTGTAGAATGTTAAGCCCTCTGCAGCAATTACTTGTGGCTTGGGTCCTTTACTATTTCAAAGAATGCTGAAAGGAAAAAGATATGCCTGTACCAAATAAACTTTCTGAAAATATTGTATAAAGAGACTGTTTATTCTTAATGATCTTTTTGATACAGAGTTCACTTAGTCTAAAGGATTCTTTGTTCTTGAAATAAATTATAAAGGAAAAAACTGTCAATAAAGATTTATTTTCTTTAAATATGTTACTTGGAACCCTTAGTCCATGAGGTACTATTGTTCTTGTTATGTATTAGGCTGTACACACACACACGCACACATTTTATTATATATTTATATTTAAATATATATATCAGACCATGTGAACTTTGGGAACATGTTTTCTATAAGTAAAATTTTTGAATTCTGGTACTACTTACTATGAGAGAATCAAAACACATTAGTAATAGCTATGCTTGGTTAACATTTTGAAAGTCAAATCCATCAATATGCAAAACAATTCTGAGCAAAACAATTCTGAGCAAAGGCTTAAATAGAAGACAATTCGGTTGTACCCCCACTCTTCCATATACAAAACACCCTTACTGTTTACTTCAACTCTGCACACTCTCACACACACACTTCAATTTATATCCCAACACAGATTACAGAGAAGTACCTGCAATCCTGGCGTTCCAAATTGGGAGAATTTTTTTATAAGTGTATTGCACCATATTATTTTGTTGCTTAAGTTAATTACATTTATGTAAAATATTTTTAAAATTAGTTCTTATTTTCCAAAAATGCATTCACTGCCCCTTGATAAAGGCTGATTCCCTTGCTGCTTTAGTGTTTTATTTTCCTCTGTGAAAGTGTCTGGAATTTGTTGTTACTTACTATACAAAATACAGTTAGGGAAACTGCAAGTTTACTAAAACACCTTCTTAAGGATTCACTTTGCATCTAGGAAAAAAAAAAACACCAAAAATGAAGTGAAATAAAATGTTTCAACCTCAAACTGAATTCTTCACATGTAGAAGAGGTTTAGGTTCTCTGGTAACTGTTTTGATCATTTATAAATCATGCTTTATCCATGTTACGTCTTTTAATTTTCATTAATTTTGTAAGTTTATGGTTTTTACTCCAACACCAGTTATTTTAATTAAAAGTAAACTGAGCTGTATTGTCACATCATGCCAACTATTATAAAAAAAAAACCCCCCAAAAACCTATGTAACTTAGTGAAAAAGAAGTGCTCACTTGATTTTTCACAAGAAAGTACTTAAGTTTCTTTTATATTTAAATATCCATTTGAAACAAGAAATATAAATTGGCATATTAAAGAGTAAATACATACAATAAAACACCAACAATCTGTGTGCAACCCCTATTAACTTCTAATATGATGGAAAAATTATAAAAATTTTAATTACTTATTCTTTACATCCTAACTACAACTCAGTAAGTTACCCTGTTCTCGTCCTTCTTTTGACATGCTTTGCAATATAGATTAATGTCAATTTTAGCAATTTTGTTTGCTTTGTCTACCATTTTATCAAGGTATTCAATATCAGAGAAGGAAATATCTTATAAAGAATAAATAATATGTCTACAGAAGAATGGGTGTATTTATTTTATCGGCTGATTTTGGGAGACCAGATTCCATATACAAAGTAGTTTACAACCCTTCTTATGATGAACTGCAGGGTTGGTCCTGCAGTGGGGGTGGGGTCCTGTTTTATGGTAATATATAAACACTAATTTGCCAAATAATGATCAAAACATTTTAAAATTAGGGTTAAATTTAAAAAGCTCTATCGATGCCTGTAAGCAGTATTTTGATTTTTATTCCATTTAATAATTTCTCTGCAATAATGTTGCTATGTGCATGATCCACCAATTTACTTTCAATCAAACATTAATGAAATTGCACTTAAGGGGGGGGGGTACTCTTCGAAAATTAATCTCCCAAGATACGTTCCACTTTCAAAACGATTCATTGTTAAAGCTGGGTTAATTTTTAGAGCTACAAACACCAACAAAGTTTCCAACATTTAAAATTCTGAGAGCTTTGGCTAGGAACGTGGTGGATGTGGACTCAGACAACTTTTCACATAATTAGGAACTTCTGGAAGAAGAAAATCGCCACCTCAAAGCCTCCTGGCATGTTAAATTATTTGGTCCTGGGGCTGCTGCTGTGTCCCGCCCGCAGCAAAGGGGTTCAGAGCCTGCCCCTCTCCGTGACCCGTTAGTTCGTTTTGATAGGCGCATACACAGAAGTCAGCTTGGGTACATATATCCACCATCCATTCTTGCAGTTTTTCCTTGAGGCCTCAGGCAGGACCCCGCCCCAGGGCACCCGTGCAGTCACCACGTCCTGCCATAGAGCAGGTTGGCGCCCAGCACGCCGCCTCCGTAGTCCCCTGCGGCCGCGTCCAGGGCCGCCAGACCGGCCCCTGGGCCGTGCAGCGCGGGCGGGCTGGGAGACAGTTCCTCCAGTTCGGGCGCGGGCGTCGGGGCTGGTGGCTGCGGCCCGACCTGGCCGGGCGTCGGCGTGCCGGCGCCATTCTGGCACGGCTTGCCGTCCTTGACCAGCACCGGCACCGCCACGCGGCGCGGTGATGGCGGCGGCAACGGCGGGGCCAGTCCGCCCTCGTGCTGCAGCTGTTGCGCCGCCTTGTCTTTGGCCTGCCGCTTCATCTTGTAGCGGTGGTTCTGAAACCAGATCTTGACCTGTGTCGGGGTCAGGTGGATCATGCTGGCCAAGTGCTCGCGCTCGGGCGCCGACAGGTACTTCTGCTGTTTGAAGCGCCGCTCCAGCTCGTAGACCTGCGCTTGCGAGAAGAGCACGCGGCGTTTCCTTCGCGGCGCCGCCGCCGCTACGTGCAAGGGCGCCAGCGACTTCGCGGTGTCCGCGATGCCAGTCAGCGACCCCATGCCTGCCACGTTCACGCCCGCCGACGGCCCCATGAACCTGGAAACTGGGGAGGGCCCCAAGGAGGAAGCCGGGTGAGCGCGAGGCCTGCTTCACACCGCGGCGACCGCGACGCCGGCGGGACCCCGGCTGGGTCCCAGCACCCCACGCCCGCCCCCAGTCGAGTCCCGGGACGTCCCGCGCGCCCCGGGCCCGAGACCAGGACCCGCGGACCCACGCGCGCCCGGACACCGGCACCCACGCGCCCCGCGCTGTGGCAGGAAGAGCCCGCGCCGTCCGCCCTTCCTCAGTCCCGCTCTCCTGGCCCCGCTCACTTGACGAATAGCGCGGGTCCGGGTTGGCTCCGTACCAGCCGGTGGCCCCGGCAGCCGCGCCGCCCCGCATGCCGTCCGCGTAGGCGGGCAGTTCGCCCACGTTGCCCAGGCCGCCGTTACAGTAGCCGCCCATGGCGCTGTGTGGGAACTGCGAGACGCCCGGTGGTATGTGGTAGGTGGCGGCCGCCGCCGCCGCTGCCGCCGCCGCCGCCGCGTTGTGCCCCGCCATGGCATGGGGCGGCTGCATGCCCGCCACGACCGCCCCTTGCGAAGAGGGACCGGCCGGCGGCGGACGGTAGACAGCGGCGGCCGCGGCCCCCAGGGGCGCCCCCAGGCTGGGTGGCGCGCCGTCCATGGCGCCGCTGAACTTCTTATAGGTCTCCTCGATGGGACTCAGGATGTCGGACACGGAGAAGGGCGTCGTATGCTTGGGGCTCAACGACATGGCTCGGGGGACCGCCAGGTAGGGGGGCCCCGGGCGGGTGCGGGTGGAATGAGGCGGCCGCTTGTCGGCTCCACCTCGGCCGCGGCCGCAGCGCCTGTCAGGAGCAGTTGAAGGTGCTGCGAGCCCCGGGAGCTGTGAGTCTGGGGTTTATTTTAGTCCCTCGCCAGGTTTACGACAGACTCGGGGGGCGGAGCAACCTCCCAAACGAGCAAACAATGGTCATTGGCATCTTTTTCTCGCGCCCCCCTCCCCATAATCAAGGCAAAAAAGGTAAAGGGGGCAGTTGGGTGTTTCTTGAAAAGATCACCCCTCTTTGCTTTCTCCATGCTCCCTCCTCTGTCCCTGGCAGTTACCCCAGTCCTTGAGCACCAGAATTAGAAACTCCGAGGTCGGCGTCTAGGCTTAAAGGGCTGTGAGCTTCTCCAATCCAGACTCCTGTTTTCCTAAAGGACTTCATAGCAAACTCCAATATAATTGTGTATGGGAGATGCGGTGCTAAATTGGGGTGGGGGGCGTGCAGAGCTTGCTTCGCCCTTTCCAGCTACCTGCCCTTTACTCGCTAGATCATCTAAACTAAGTGTTAAAAAAAAAAAAAAAAAGCTCTTGGGTTCCACCATAAGAGCGCGTGAAGAGAGGAGGTACAATGACCGTCCTTTGCCATTGTAGGGCTAGTGATTTATGCATCTTTAGACCCTTAAGCATCATTTTGTGGGCAACCAAACTGGCACTTCTAAATTAGCTCAAAGTATCCAAATCCAAAGGAGAGAGAAAATACATTGAGAGAGACACAAATACACGATGCTAACTTGTAAGTATTCTGTTTTTACTCTGTGGGCGTGGAGTTTGAGGTTGGTTAAGGACAAGCGGTAACTTTAATCTGCTGAAACGTTACACATTCAATTTGCACCTGTAAACTTATTTACAGCTTTCCCTTTGCGCTCGCTCTCACGCTCTCGCTCTCCCTCTTTCTCTCTCTTCCCCTCTTCTCTCCCCCCTCCTCCCCTTTCTGCTCCCTCTTTCCCCCTCATAATTCTCAGAGATTATTCTCCTATTCTCCCATGATAAAAAGAAGAGGAGGGAAAACACCCAACAGTACAAACATTTCTAGCTGTTCAATGTATGTCTTTTTATTGTTGTCGGGGAAATATAACCTGATCAAGGAAGGAATATAAAATGGATACAGAAATCAAATGAAAATGGTAGTTTCTCTTTTAAAAAAAATGAAATTGGTAGTTTTTTAAAAAAGACATCATCATCCTTTGATTTGCAAATTTACCTACATAGCAAAGACTTTAGACTTTGTGAACTCTCCACCAAATGTTGAACACGACATATAAGACAAAAGAAGTGTCAAAGCATATTGATTACATTTTAAAAATAATCTTACAGTTAAAAGTCATGATAAAGGGGGAAATGACAGTACAATTTTTAAGTTTTTCTGGAGACTTGGGCAGGAAAAAGAAAAGGAACAAAGAAAGTGCTTTCTAAAGCGAGATTTTACTGTTTAAAAAAGAAAGGGATGTGTGCAAAGCATTTCAGTTTAACGTTACTGTACAGGTCTTGAAGGCAAGACAGTGTTACCTAATCCTTTTTTCTGTTCCATTTCAGCCCTTTGGTTGGAATGCCCTTTGAGATTTTGTTTTTATTGTTTTAATCATTGTTTCCTTCTTTCTTAGTACTTCTGCAAAGAATCTGCCCTGGGGTTATGGGGGTGGGGCTAGTCTAGTCACCTATGGGAAGAGAGTATCAACAAGGCAGGTATGTAAAGTAATACTTTAAAATACTTAAAAAAACAAAACACAAGATTACATGAGTTGTTTGCAGTCATCAGTTTGATTTAGCAAGATTAGTACTGCTTCAATTTTAACATGATGCTACTTTTACAGGTCTTTCCTGATCTTGAAACACTTGGGTTAGTTCTTCATTCTCACCTGCACTGGAATTGCCTGCGTATTTATTTATTTATTTATTTATTCATTCATTCATTCAAATTATTGGTACACAAAAAAACAATTACATATGTATTTAAGTCATTGCTGGAATCCTGAAAACTAGTTTGAGTTTTATTTATTAATTTATGTAATTAATTAATTTATTTATTTTATCCTCACCTGAGGACATTTTTGCATTTATCTTCAGATAGAGTGGGAGGGAGGGAGAGGGAGGGAGAGAGAAACATCGATATGAGAGAGACACACCAAGTGGTTGCCACCCACACGATCCCAGCCAGGGCCAGGGACAAACTGCAACTGAGGTACATGCCCTTAGCGGAAACCGAACCCAGGACTCTCCAGTCCACAGGCCAATACTCTAACCTCTGAGCCAAACTGACCAGGGCTGTAGTTTGAGTTTTAAGTTTTGGTTAAATTCAATATTGTTTACTTGTGTTACCTTAAATAAAAAGTAGAAAATCTTTCAGTGCAAACTTTCCTCAGAGACAACACGGTAAGTAAAAACAGTTGTTATGATAACTATAGATATACAAATCACTTGTAAATCATTATATTTTATTTTTCAAATTCAAGCATGTTTCAGAAATGAAATCCATGATTGTGATCTTCATGTTGATTAGTTATCCAAACTGAAAACATGTTTATAATTATAGTTTTCCTCTCCAGACTATTATTATTTACTGTGTTTTCAGGCTATACATTTATCTCGTGGAATTTTTTTTAATAGGTTTTCAGGATAACAGTTCAGTTATACAACAAGTTGTTGCTTATTTTGTTTTCAACACTATGGGTTCCTGCTACAGGTACATTTACATCTGGAAGGTTCCCATCTTTAAATCAAACAGTACTTTATCATATCTGGAGTTCTCTGCAGAGAGTCATTTTCTGACTGCTTGGGAACTTTGTACCCTAACTAGTTAGTACTCCTTCACTGGTGAGCAGTTCTGAGAAAAAAAAAATTCCACAGTCTTTAAAAATTTTCCCTATCAATTATTTGTGTCTTATTCAAGAAAGTAGGTACTTTTATGCTGGACTATCTGGTTGTGTGCAGATGATTTTGAAAATACATATATATAGTCCAGAAGATGCCTATGTGCATTTATGTAGACAAATTAAAATCCAATTAAAGTTCATTAAAGCTTTTCATCAAATTGATTTAATCAGATTATTGTCTGTCTTAATTATGTATGGAACTTTATACTCAGTAGATTCTTAAATATACATATTGATGACATTAGATTTCCTTAAAAACAATGTTGCCACTCAGGAGGGAAAAAAAAGCAAATACTGTCAACGGGAATACACACTGAAAAGAGATGTTCTTCCCACTCCCATCTTCTATCTCCCAGTTTCCTTCCTCAGAGACACCGTTACCTGTTTCTTCTGGGATGTCCTATGCAACTGGAAAACCTACTACCATTTTACATACAAGGAGTAGCATGTTGTATATTGTTTGGTACCTTTATTTTTTAATAGTTTAGGTTTTTGTAATTTTATACAGCACATTTAACTCTGAAAACTTAATAAATGGGCTGTGGCAGATATCGAAAATTTTTGTGGACAAAAAGATTCAATAGGTCTTCTTGATTTTCTGACAAAAATGTGGTACTTGTAGAAAATTTCTGATGTGTTAGTTAACCTTGGGGCCAAAGATATTTGGCAAAAAAAGATCTGAACTCGGAGTTTTCCCTTGATTTGTGATTTCCTGTTGTCAGACAGACGCTCAGAGAAAGGGGTCTAAGGAATGTTGAGACATATCCAGCCAGTACTTAATGGGAAGTGTTGCTTTTCTGTGGTAGCAAACAGATTTCTAATGTGTAATGAATTTCTTTATAAAGATAAACTGTGTTTGAAAATATAACTTTACACTAAAGAAGATGAGTACTTTTAGAAATAAGAGACTTGAAACATTTGTGATTAGTTTAAAACAGTTGTGTAATTTGATTAATAAAATCTTCATTTAATGAAAGTAGCTTTAAATTATTATCTGTGCAGTTGGGAAGGAATAAATAAATGTCAAGATACTAGTGTTTTGTTGCAAATTTTAAGATTATAAAGAGGAAACAAAACTGCTATAGAGATGAAACACAGTTTAATTATTTTTTAAATTTGTGCTAGTTTTACCAGTTTCTAAAATCTGATTCTTCTTCTTTTTTATTTTTTTAGTCCTCCTAAAGGCTTTTTGTTTAAACATTCACATTAATTATTGTTTAATCTCTTGTGATAATTTCATACCTGTATTTATGTAACTTTGTTATTTCGATGTGACACAGTCATCCTTTCATATTTTCTTCACAAAATGCAATTCTTTCCTTGTAATTTAACTCTTATAAAAAACTCTTTCCTGAGATTCATATACTTTAGATTGAAATACATTTTTAGTTTTTGACCAATGAATTTATTTTAAATTAACATAATTATTAATACAATGTGAGAATGGATGGGTAGGTGTTAAAGACATTGTTGTTAAAGTCATTGTAATAATGAGTTTAATTAAATGATCCCTAAAAAACAAAAACTAGAAGGCTCCCCTTCTAGGGTTCAGCTGTAATACTAGTTTTTACAGTCACAGTGGAGAACAGCATTAGGCTATACCAACGGTGTAAACTGAAAATTTTGTAGTATGTTACAGCTCTCTCACCCTAGGACAGTGAGCTTAAACTAGAAATTTAATTTTTGTTTGAAAAATTATTTTTTAGAGTAATAAGATACATGATATGAAAAAAAAATGGCAAAATCAAAATACAAAAATGTTTCCTTGTATATCTTGCTTACACAAAAGTTTAAAACTTTTTAGAATATAATGACATTTTTATTAGACAAGATCTTAGTTTTTACGTGCTTTGGGATGTCATTAAATGGCTCTTTTATAGGAAAAAATCCCTTGAATTACAAACAAAATCATATTTTTACTTATTATTTTGTATGAGGACCTAGTCATTCAAAAAGTTCTACCATATCTCTATACCTACCCAATTAGAGTGAATACATATAGCTTTTTAAAAAATTCATACTTTCATAAATTTTTCTGATATGCTTTCAGTTTTT